AATTTTTATATTTTTTTTTTTAAATTTTAAAACTTTAAAAATTTTTTTAGCATTTTAAAATATTTAAACAACCAAAAAATGTAACATAATAAACAAAGAAATATAAAATAACAATAACGAAAATTACTATACAATTATACTATTACTATGACTACAATTGATTTAAATAAATAAGAAAATATTAAGAATACAACGTGCTTTTTCGTCAGGTATAAAAATTGCTTATTAACATTTCATTGGATATTTTAAAACATGCAACAAATAAACAATACAGAAATACAAATTAAAAACAATTCAAATTAAAAGACATAGAAAGAAATTCAAATGATTAAAAAAATTAAAACTAAACATGATTCTTTTGCTACTTTTACAAAATTTCTTATTGCAATTTCATTCGAGATTTTAAAACTTGGAACAAATAAACAACGAAAGGACATGAAATAAATACTATTTAAATTAACACAATTACAATGAAATTCAAATGAATACAAAAAAAAAAATGTCTGGTTATGTATTGTGTCCATACAGGTAAATAATTCAGCAATCCATTTCTTTTTCAAGTTTGAAATTTAATATTTCGCATGTCCGAATCGGCATGTTTTTTCTACAAATTTATGTCTAAATAGTTCTTGCTTTTATTTGCCAGAGCAGGTCTTATAAGTATATATTTTTTCCTATAAGTTAACCTAATAGTCATTTTTATATCTGCTTGCAATACCTTAAGTTTTCACACTCTTAGTTCGTATCTCATAACCAGTGCTAAGATTTATCTTTTAATTTTTTTGAATATTTTTTAAATAAAAGAAAAAGCAACAAAGTTGTTTAATAAAAAACAACTAAAACTAACACAAATGCAATAAAATGCAAATAACAAAAAGAAAATTAAAATTTAAAATTCCTTTTTTGTTATTTTTAAGATTTATCTTTTAATTTTTTTGAATATTTTTTAAATAAAAGAAAAAGCAACAAAGTTGCTTAATAAAAAACAACTAAAACTAAAACAAATGCAAATTAATGCAAATAACTAAAAGAAAATTAAAATTTAAAATTCCTTTTTTGTTATTTTTAAGATTTATCTTTTAATTTTTTTGAATATTTTTTAAATAAAAGAAAAAGCAACAAAGTTGCTTAATAAAAAACAACTAAAATTAAAACAAATGTAAATTAATGCAATTAAATGCAATTCTATTTAAGAAAATTGAAATTTAAAACTATTTTATGTTGTGTTTAATAATTTCTTTTGTAATGTTTTGCACATTTTAAAAATAAAACTTTTTAAACCTGTAAAAAAAATTGAAAAAATAATCAATAAATATATATAAATTATTTAACTATTTAATAATTTTTAAATCAGTAAGTTATCTTTTCTAAAAAACATTATTTACAAATCAAACGAAAATTATAAAGTTGATAATTATTAATATACTACTGTTGAGTGATTTATTATGTTTCATATATTTCATTATTAATTTGATTAGTTTAGAATCTTAGTATACTCATATTTATATGAACTTGCTGAATATTTTTATCTCTATTCCTACTTATCCTGTTGCTTTTTCTTTGTTACGAGACTACTACTTTCCCAGAATATATTCTAGATGATACTTGGATAAGAATATATATATATAATTCTAATGCCCTGTAAGACTGCTCCAGTCTGTCTATATGTAAATATCTCAATGTCTGTCTCAATGTTATAAAGAATATGATATATCTCTACGTTAATACATGTTTTCTGTTCTCCTGTGACCATGGCCAAAACACCATTTCTATCAAGGATTGAAATGGTATTCAATTTATAAGTGTAGAGTAGATAATCTTGTAAGTGTTAAGTGTAAAATACAAAAATATTCTGATTAAACACTTACCCGAGAAGTACTCGGATTAAATCAAGCAGATGGATACTTGACTCAAATGATTGAGAGAAACAGATCATTAATGAAACTGAATGTATTCAGTTTGTCCATTTTTCATGCTTTTCCAGACTTTCTGTGCTGATCTGAATGTGAAAAAACAATTATAATTATTACTTGAAAACATATCTGAATTCGAATTTTATCAAAACTTATTGACAGCGCAATATCGGCTGTGTTTATATTGATTAGTTGCAAATATTACATTATATGAAATTGAGAAGCAAAAATGTTATATTTATAGATAATTTCTAGTCATTATTATTTTCATTTGTAGATTATTTTTTCATTGGGTTTAAAATTCAACTATTTTGGTAAATCTCGATGCAGTGCAGCATTATAAAAAAGTTATGCCATCTTTATAAATATTACGAAGTTCTTAAGCTCAAATTCCTGCGTTCATCATAATATTGTGTATAATTGTTGCTGTTTGAAGTACTTTGATTTAGCATCACACTGCATTCAGTGAGAATTGTAAAAGCGAAACAATGACCGAGCAAAATCAAACATTGTTTGTATTGACATATAGAGAAACTTACTTCTTGACAGGCTTCCATACGGCCTTGAAAAATGATCCGGCTTTATTTAATGCTTTTCTCTTATTATCAGCACACATAACATTATATCCAATGGTGTTAGAATTTTCCATGCACCCTTCGCGCTTGCTGAAGCCTTCATTCAATCGGATGTACGTTGGACGACCCATAATGTCATCATTTATTTCATAGTCGTCCTGATCTTCTACCAATCGCTGACTAAAAGTAAAAAGAAAAAATTTACAATGCAGTAAATATTTATAAAACTTATAGAGAAATTACAATATTTCAGAACATTTATTTCAGAAACATTTTGTATTATATTTTCCAAAATTTTCCATGAAATAATTTATCTTTGACATATTTCGGTTTAATGCCGATCTCATAGTAGTAGAGGTAGACAGAGGCGTTCTATCGAACTTTATATATAGAAAATGCATATGTCGCTTAAGGTACTACGTCGCTCAATAACACTATGACAGATGTCCATAGTTTTTATTGGAACCGAAAAACACGTAGACGCCCGTTCTTTTATATAGTACTTATCTGTATTTACTTATCTGTATTTATTTTTAGATAAATACAGATAAGTTCTATATAAACAATTATGTTCTGAAGAATGAAAAAAATGTGTGTAATAATAACTATTTTAAAAATCTAGTAACGAGTCGCTTAACTTTTTTGGTAACATTTCGTGGCTCCATTCGTTATAATATTTTACTTAAAAAACTTGTTATATTTTTAACTTTTATAAAATAATCAAAACGATTTATTTTGAGAGCAGGAATAAGTTTTATAAAAGGTTTCTAAATGCTAACAAAGAGTAAAATCGTCGTTAGGTCTCATCTTACTTGAGATAAGACAAATGTCTCCTGTCATCTTTTTACCCCTCGACCTGTCACTACCAAAATTTGACACCATCGATCATTCTAATACACAAACCTCCCTAAAAGATTTCTAAAATTTTCAGCAAAAAGCACGGGAGTTATTACGCTTCAAAGAAGATGAACAAAATCGTGCCTTTATACACACACACACACACATGTCCATCTATACATACATAAAAAGCCGCGACTATTGTTGAATTTCTGGACGTTTCAAGATCTCCAGTCTTGTAAAATTCATGATATGTAAAAGTCTTAAAAATCATTCTTTGACCGATCGTCATACTTTCCCTCTATTATATACAACAGAGCCGAAAAAGTAAAAATAATGTGGTGACTATAAATTTGTCACATGGAATTACAAGCAATATTAAGGGATCCTATTTATATTTTTGATGTCTAAAAACAAGAGAAAATTGAGACGTGTGTTCATCCTGCACATATAATTTATACGAATGGTAAAATATATATAAATTAACGTAAGTAATTTGAGATGTATCTGAAATCACTTACGGTGTAAAAAGGAATGGTCGGTATAATTATACCTCACTAGATTGTACTTTAATATAAATCAACTATATTCTCAGAGAACGTCCCCGTCCTTTAGCGGCTAATTCCGTACTATATTATAATACTGTATAATTGTATTATACTTTTATCCACCGTGGTCATTTTTTCTGTACTAGGATTTCGTATAATTAAAAAAAAAACAGAATTTCGAATTAAAGTATATTTACTGTCTATACTGTAATGAACATGAAAGATTTTATACGAACATTACAGAATAGATCGAGCATTTCGGGTCAACGTTCCTCTTTATCAGATATTATTATTTTTATTTTTATAGTTGATTACACCTATATCTATCTTTCAATTTTTTTCGGAATAGACCTTTAAAATGCCATTTTTTAACTTTCCCAGCAAAACTTTTTCTAAATGTTTACCTGTTTATTACAACATCACTTATTCGTTAAACGAATTACCAACTCTTCATGTTACTGAGCAATTATCCACCAAACACATCTCACTCTGCAGCTCTATGGGTATATTAAAATCTAAGCATAAAAAAGTAACATCTGCTAAGAAGTAATATTAAGGGATCCTATTTATATTTTTATATATCGTTGGCCAGAAATTTTCGATTGGAGTATAATAGCATGTAAGATTACGTCACAATGAATATATTTTTATTGGAAATTATGTGTTTCGTTTTCCTCATTATAACAAGCCCAAGTGGTTTCAATTTAATCTCGTTATAATGACACAAAAATGTCTAAGGTAGATAAATGTATAATATAAATAATGAAAAACAAGAAGCACGTGTCAACATATTTTATAACTATATTTCATATAAACAGTAATATAACTTACCTGTTAAAGCGATCGCGCGAAATCTCGTAAAATGGCCGAATCTTATCTATTGCTTGTTTGTATGCAGGATTAATGTGATTTTTTAATATGGACGTTCCAAATTTAATATTTGCGGGTTCATCCTGCTTCAATAGGCCTTTTTTCTTGGCCCGATATTTAAAATTATCCAATTTTTTTGGATTCACGAATCCCGCTCGTCCATCAGATGTTGCCCTGAAAATAAAAAGAAAAAATTTATATAACACTATGAATGTTAAATACCGAAACCTTTGTTCTAATTTTAAAATCAAATATACAAAAATTTGTTAATGAGTACTTATGTAAACTTTTAGAAAAATTATTACACTCTAAAAAACTTTGCATTTAATGTCTAAGAAAATTTCTTATCAAACTGTAAGCTAAAGAAAGCATCATTTAATAAACTCGTGAAATTTCATTAATTTGAGTGAGGGGCAGAAGTTTTTATAAATTAAGCTTAAATTTTCAATAAGTATCTTATTATAAAACAACATATAATAAGATTTAACAACTTTAAAATTATATATCTATTCACTGCTGATTTAATAACTTATGACAATAGGTCAATAAATTCGTCTATTACGTGTAGTGAATTGAAAACGCTAACGATGAAAAATAAGTCTATTAAATTAGATTTATAGAGTGATAAACGTATTCTGTTTCCTTTTTTAAATAACAGTAAAGGTAAAAAGCCCAAGATTTTTAACTCTGAGCAGTTGAACTCACATGCAAATTTAACCCGNCTGATTTAATAACTTATGACAATAGGTCAATAAATTCGTCTATTACGTGTAGTGAATTGAAAACGCTAAAGATGAAAAATAAGTCTATTAAATTAGATTTATAGAGTGATAAACGTATTCTGTTTCCTTTTTTAAATAACAGTAAAGGTAAAAAGCCCAAGATTTTTAACTCTGAGCAGTTGAACTCACATGCAAATTTAACCCGTTAGTTTTAACATCAAAATAATTATAGGATACAGCAAAACACAAAAATGTTTGCTTATAAACTACATTCAGAAACATCGAAAAGTCGAAATTATTAAATCAATTTAAAGTAATTATCATTTGCACAGAGCAATTTTATTTTAAAGCCATTAATTTTTCGAGTAAATTTCTTATTTGCATAAATAACAATAAAATGTGAAAAATCTCTTACTCCAAAGGTTCAGGCAAAGGTTGATAATTCAAAACATCGAAAAACATCTTGTAATCACTTGAAAATCGCACTCTTGACAATAGAAGAGCAAAACAATAACTGGTCAATTGTTGAGTTTCTTTGTTACGCGTCAATTGAAGAAGAGAGAAATTTTAATGATTAATTTTTGTTTTATTTTTTATTTTTTATTTTTGAATTAGTTTCTGTGTAATAATGAATAAAGGGTAATGGCCATAACAGAAAAACGTCTTGCTAACCTCTCTGGAGGAGTTGGGATCGAATCCCAGCGAGCAACTCTCGAAGAATTTTTCATGAAAGATCTATCTTAGATACGTTGAGCCCAGTCCGTCACCATTGTAGGTTGGACCATACCTACCATTATGGGCCTGGTAATGAACATGATTGATAGCATTTTAGAGTTGCCTACCTGTGTCTGAGTGGAAAAACCACTGAATATTTGTAGCTTTTCGTCAGTTTTCGCCTCGCCGACAGGCTGACAACATAGAATTTTTCGGGTTTTCTTCACGTGTGCAACACATAAATAGGGGTCAGTTTCCCATTTAAACTTCTCCCGAGAGGCACTTCTCTTTAGTGTCGTGTTGACATATACAACTAACGTAAAGCCTTTTAATATTCATATGGAAAAAAGTAATATTATTAATGAGAATAACTATATTTGAACCGCCATCTGTGCAATAGAATCAGAGTATGTACTGTTGCTATTGATGGCACTTTACTTACGAATTAATGTACAATAAATAATTAAAATTACTGAAAAATAGTTTAACTATATTAAGGCAAATAAAAATTTTTCAGGTTTCAGTCGCATTTGTATGTTTTTTCTTTCACTAATCATCTAAATCTAAAGAATTATTTGTTCTAACTGACTGAATAGGTTACTGATTCATCATCGTCCAGAGCAAACCGCTGAACCTAAAAAATGAAATTTTGTGTACAGTTAGATTACGTCATTAAAACGCACACTAAAAAAATTTTCGGAATTCTCTTGTGGAGGTAGAGGGATAACATTAAGGCTTAATCTAAAGAGCGGCTTCTACTGTACTATTTTAGATGCGATTTTTTGTTTTCTACTACGTTTAGTTTTTATTGAGTACTTTGGTGCACTAAATTAATAACATTTCAGATATTGTTTATAAATATTTTTATATATTTTAATTTTTTAATCAAATGTTCGAACCGTTTTAAAATTAATGTTTTCTATTGCATATTGATTAGATTATAGAATGATTGTAAACATTCCAGAAAATCGATGAAATTAAAAATAGTTTCTTTGGTTTTCAGCAATTCTCATTATTTTCAGCATTAGGTGTTATATAGCAATTACCATGGTTGTCGAAAATACTGAATATAAATAAGGTTTGCTTGCAAAACCTCTACGGGNAACCCCTATGGGGTTTTGCAAGCAAACCTTATATACAGAACTAGTTGTTTCCCCATAGGGGAAACAGCTAGTTCTGTATATAAAAAATAAAGCTGTATTTGGCATTACGGAAGTAACGGATCTCGTTTCGCTTCATATTCATATGCGTTTATACGGTTCTTACTACTATGACGACACATTATCGCTTACGAAACCAATCATTTTAAAATAATTTGACGCCTTTCTTATCTCGAACTTGTTCGGAAGTTTTCAAACAAACAATGATTAATATTTATAAATAGTAAGTTACTGTACTATAATACTATTAAATAACGCTGGCAGAAACATCACACAATATTCAAATACAAACAGTAAAGATTACATACAGTTAACGCCTTTATAACGCGGTAGATACGTTCCACTTTATAAGAATTTTACGTTGTAGGAATATTTAAATACATGAGCCAATCACAGCCCGACGCTTGTGCAGTTTACGGACTACGGCTGTATGAACTGTTTTCTTTTATAAAATTAATCGATTCTAAACTAATTTGACTCGACATTTCTAAAACACGTATAATTTTTGGGAATAATCCGTATAAACTCTGCTATATACAAAAAATTGTAAGATTACTTACTGAGTGTGCACCGTTCGATGACGCCATTGCTTAAGCTTGTGTTCGTCGCAGAGCAGCGCATTGAACGGCGCGGGTGCGTTCTCTGATAAGATATTTTTCTGTGAAAATTTCGCTGAACTTTGGAGACATTATTAATATAAATAGTTTTTATGGCCGTTGAAGAAGAAATGCTATTTTCACAAGAAATGTTAAAATTACAGTACTGTATTAGACTTACAGTACCGAATTTATATACAGTACAGATGATAGGAAACTCAACTTACCAGCCTAAACTCTCTGTAGCGTGTAAGTAGTTCGTGTGCTCGTTTACTATTGGTCCAGATTCGACCTTTCCTGTAGCGACACGAGTTGGCGATAACGTTTTACCATTTTTTAAATTTAATAATCACTTTGTAAATTTAATATCATTAATTAAAGTTCAATCAATCTTTTCCTCATAAGACATTATCGTGAGTTATCTCGGGCATAGTCCTTAAGGGCCTCAAAAAACGGCCTTGACTTAAAATTATTCCAAAAATTTCATGAATTGTTTTTGCCGCAAAAACATTTTATGACGATTTTTAATTATGTAATTGCGCTATTGTTTTTTATGGAAGTTTTTATAATTAAATTAATTAAATCGTTTTAAACTTCTATTGGACTTGCTTGACTTGTTTACAATTTTTTATAACGCTATTGGATGGTTTTTATGACATCAGCAAGTTATTTATTTGTTTTATGTTGGTAAAATTCTTTGTATACTTTTTTTTTAGTCCCCTCGTAATTTAATAGCATGATGATCGAAAATATTGTGTTATATTCGAACATATGATATAAGTTAGCTTTCGTTATGCTTCAAACCAATATCACCCTAAGGTGTTCACGAGAACTTCTGGGGAGAGCTGACTCCAGCTGTTCTCACGGTCAACCGGTTTGTTTACAATGTACACTGCAGGAGTGAAATTTCATGCCTTGTTAAATAAAACAATAACCATCCGTGCAGCTATATTATTCAAATAAAAACATTCATTTTTAATTATTTTTAATTTTTATATAGTTTTTCTGTAAAAAACTTTTTGGGGGATGTTTATTTTCTGGCAATTACTTCCTGGCAATTTTTTTAGTGTAAGATTCGCATTTGAGTGAAAATAATTATTTAATACAAAAAATAAAATTCTTAGAAGTTTTTTAATTAACATTAAGAGTTAAACAATAAGCGCCAAAGAAATAAGTAAAAATATATAAGATTTGCTGGTATGTGAATTGTGGATGATACACATCCGCTGTTTTGTTTAATTTTTAAAATTACAGTCAATTACTTAATCCAAAGATTTTTTAACACGCAATAACGCCGCTACTCCCCAATTAAAGTAGTAAAAATAAAAGTTAAATATAATAAAATTATATATTTATATTTTGTGAGTTGTGTTTTACTGATTTTAGTTACTTTCGTACATTAAGCGGAAGATCCTTATTATTTTATAATGTAAAGATATTTTTATTTTAACACACTCTAACTGTTAGAAAACCTGAAGACGCCAAGTAAATTACTACGTCATCAGACCGTTGTTCAGGCTAAAATTACCAACTAAGTGATAAATTGTTGAATCTAATTACTTGCTGGTATGGACTTTAACTCACTGATATGAAAATTCTTTACAATATACAAGTTCATTTCGGTTTAATTCGGTGTGAAATTCTATGATAAAAGCTTCTTGCGGCACAAGAATTTAGTGTGATATTATGCTAAGTAATATCTGACATCACATTATAAAAAAATTAACTAATATAATATATGCACTTATCTGTAAATAATATAATAATAGAATTACAGTTTACGTTAAAGATTCAATTATTTAAAAATTACATTTCATATTTTGTTGTTTTTGTAGCAATTCAACAAAGAAAATTAACATAGAAATTACATAGCCAGAAAGTAACAGAATGAAAGCACTCATACTATCATCAATAAAAAGAGGATGATGAAATCCAGCGTAACCAACCCCTGAGGTCTGTTTTGTTTCCCTCAAAAATTTTTCGTAGATTCCAGCATCCACTAGTCTTTGCAACCTGAATAAATAAACCAAAAGAAAT